AAATGTGAAATCAAGTGCCAAAAACATCATAAATTGTGGTCCTATGGTGGACTGTGGGACGCTACAAATGGCCCTCAAGATGAGCGGGTTGCCAAGCAACCAAAATCTGACTGCAGGAGGTGTAGCCATCGTAACTTTGGGGGGGAAGGGTCATAATTAGCTTTGGAGAGGTCTGTCATAACTTTGGACGATTGTTAAGCCACCAGTTGTAAATCGAGGAACACCTGTAATAATAACAATTATCATCATCTCCTTTAATGAGCTCATAATCCCTCGTGGGGTGGAGACTGGGCCACTGAATGGAGCTGAGTGTTTACTGGCCAGATGCCCTTCCTGCCACCAGTGCTGAGTTATACTCGGCAGACATATTCTCAACGTCCCCAGAGAGAGAAGAGCACCTGTAATCCACATCCAAATGTTTAGGTTTAATACCAGAGCAGTAAATCTCAACTTTCCAAACCATGAATCTGTGATTCAGGAACAGTCTGCTTTTGGCACAAAGCTGCAGACACCCAACTTAGCTCAATTAAACTCTGGGTTGCTGACAAGAACGATGTGTTAATCATAAATGCGGAGCCGCCTCTCCGCATTGCAGGACAAAGTTTGATGTCGCTTTACGATCCAGCGTCTACACTCTGTGCTGCTATCACCCAGCTTTCCAAGTTAAATGATCATGAGCCTCTGTCTCTCTAGCCTGGGAAAACACCACTTGCCACTTGTCTGGATACAGCCCTTGCATTGGCACCGGATCCATCCCACCGGATCCATCCCACCAGATCACAGTAGCTCACGTGGTCAGGATCCTGGGGTGACGATCAGCAGGATTGTGTTCGAGACTCAGTTGCTTCCACCGTAGGTTTGACCGGTGGCTAATTATCCGTCCCCCCAAATAAGATTAATAATTAAACTTCCAGTGGTGACCTGTGATTTCTTTGTCCAAGATAAAGTAGACCAGGGGTGGTCAATATTTGGACTTCAGGGACCACCAAACACATAATTTTAAATCCCGCGGACCAGAGACTCTGGGAAAATCCCCCCAAAAATCTGCAGGAAAATTTCCCACCCCATTGCCCTACCCATCGTTCGTTCTTTACTTGGGATCACAGGATACCGTCTCCAGCTCCGTTCTCAGGGAGAGGGAGGGAGAGACTTTTGGCTTCATGCAAGGAAAGCAGCAGAAGCAGCAGAGGTCTTTCTTTCTCTCCCCCAAACTCCGCCAGAAATCTGTGACTCATTTCTGGAGGAGTTTGGGGGAGAGAAAGAAAGACAAGTTCCCCCCGCCCTGCCCTTTCCCCCCTCCCCTCACTACCTCGTGTTGTTCCCAATGCAAGTGACGCAAGCCTTGTGTTCCTGTGGGCCAGGTGGGCAGTGCAGCCTTGTGTTCCCACACAGCCTGGATTAATTGCTTTGGGGAGTGGGGGGGACATTTCTCTGTGGACCACCAAAATTTTCTCATGGACCACCAGTGATCCTCACTGAAGTAGACCAATCCAAATAGGCAAAGGCTGAACTTTCTAAATGTAAACAGCAGTCCCTACAAACCCCAATATTTGGTATGGAGAATCTCAGTCATCCAGGTCATGGTCGTCCCATAGGTGCTTTTTTCAAGAGGCAACTAAACTACCTGGTTGTTCTTTGAGGAACAACCAAGGGAAAGATCGAGAATGATCCAAGAAGTTTTTTCAGCTCTGAATGTCTATGGAGATTCTTGGTCATCCAAGTCATGATTGTCCCATAGGGGCTTTTTCAAGAGGCAACTGGACTTCCTGGTTTTTCTTCGAAGACGTTTCGCTTCTCATCCAAGAAGCTTCTTCAGCTCTGAGAGAAGCAGAAGAAGCTTCTGAGAGAAGCTGAAGAAGCCTCTTGGATGAGAAGCGAAACGTCTTCGAAGAAAAACCAGGAAGTCCTGTTGCCTCTTGAAAAAAAAGCAGCACTGACTGGAGATTTGATTGGCTCCTGCTTGTAGTAATCTTTTTGTTATCTTGCGATGACAGCATCTTAAAATTAAGAAGTCCCCGAAACCCACGGAACAACATTCAAGCAAGTTGATTAGATCCTAACATCTGAAGAGTAGATGTGAAATACCAGCGAGAGGAATCCAAGTGTCAATTGATGCAGAAGCAAACATTTTTTGAAATGATCATCCTGCAAATATCCCAACCTGTGTTAAATAGCCACTGGAGTTCATACTTCAGTGTTGAGATAATTATATTTATTGCCTTTCGCTGTTACTGGCCCTGGTTAGTTCTTAAGAGGTCCTTAGAGCGAGTGCTTTCTCCTTTGTGTCGTGCTTTAAAAACAAATGAATCTCAGCCAATTTTCTACCGCACAGAGTGAAGAGCCATCTAGCTTCAGGAAAAATAAACCACTTTTCGATAAGAGAAATCTGGCTTATTGGTCCCAGACTGGCCCAACCACCTACTTTTCTTTTGTATTTTTATACAAAAACGAAAGCTAATGATTACACTTCTTGCGGGTGTGCATGTCGAAGATAACGTGCAAAATTACATATTAACAGAGTTGGAAGGGATCTTGTAGGTCATCTAGTCCAACCCCCACCCCACCCAAGGAGGAGACCCTACACCATTTCTGACAAATGGCGGTAGTCTCTTCTTGAAAGTTTCCAGTGATGAAGCTCCCACAACTTCTGAAGGCAGCTTCTGCTCTATCGGTTGATTATTCTCAAATTCCTCCTTACTTCTAGGTTGAATCAGTTTCCATCCATTATTCCTTGTCTGGCCTTCCAGTGCTTTGGAAAATAGCTTGACCCCCTTCCTCCTCTCTGGGGCAGCCCCTCAAATATTGGAAGATGCTCTCCTGTCTCCCCTGGTCCTTCTCTTCCCTAGACTAGCCAGGCCCGGTTCCTGCAACCGTTCTTCGTATGTTTTAACCTCCAGGCCCCTAATCCTCTTAGTTAATAGAGGTAGCTTAGTGATCCATTTAAAAGCCACGGCAAAAAAAGGACATAACAGCTGGGAGGACTCACTTAACAAATGTTTTGCTTAGCCATGGAAATTCCATGCCCCAAATTATGGTTGTAAGTCAAGGATGATCTGTAAGCACAGCTTCGTCCGTCACTCACTCACAGGCTTTGAGCTGTTGATTCTTTCTCAAGGTGTTTCTCTTCACCCAAACCCAAAACAAAATCCAGAAGTTTGTTAAAGAGATGTAAAATGGACCAACCTGCACACTCGGAGAGGAAGACGCAACCCAGCAAACCCAGGGCAGAGACCAAGACGCTGTTTGCCATTTCTTTCAACTTCACAACTCTGTCCTGATGCTCGGGGGATACGAAGCCACGGGATCGATAGCTCCAAAGGGCAAGTCAATATTTGTTCTTGAGGGCTTTTATCTTTCTGTGGAAGATTTCTGAATGAGCTTCTGCAGCTGGTCTTCAAACGGCCGCCTCCCACGCCTGGCAAACCCTGTGAAGGGTTTGGCTGAATATCTACCCGGTTGTGTCAGAACGCCCACTAGAATTCCCAGGTGCTGTGGCCATTCAAGATCCTTCCTCAGATCTGTTGCCAACAAAGGCTTCTATTTTGATGTTTCGATCCTGAAAAGCCACATAAAGAGCCGTGGGGGCGAAGTGGTGAAGAATGCAATACGGCAGGCTACTTCTGCTGACTGCCGGCTGTCGGCAGTTTGATTCTGACCGGCTCAAGGTTAACTTAGTTTACGGTGGGACTAGAACTCTCAGTCTCCTGGTGATTCGTCCAGCCGGCTTTCACACCTAAGGCAGGACTAGAACTCACCATCCCGTGGGTTATAACCTGGGACTTTAACCACTAGACCAAACTGGTTTGCTTTAACTTTGCTAAGGTTTTCTGTCAGGGCATTATTTGGGTGAGCCCAGGCCATCCATGAATCAAAGCTGCAACTTTTTAAATAAATTACTAAATCCAAAGGATCTGGGCTGTCATTGTTCTTGCAAACATATATTAAATCTGTATTTTAATATGGTTTCACTAGCACTGATGGTGTTGCTAGTTGGGTAATGAAACATTTCCAAGAAAACAGACAAGCTCAGAGAGTACCAACCCCACCATCCTCCCCCCCCCCCCACTCCTCCTCTTCCTCCTCCTCACAAACCCTATTCCATTTGAGCACTGATAACGTTACTTAGTTTGGGTAATGAAATATTTGCAAGAAGACAACCAAGCTCAGAGAGCACCAAGGACCCCACAGTTCTCCTCCTCCTCCTCCTCCTCCTCCTCCTCCTCCTCCTCCTCCTCCTCCTCCTCTCCCTCCTCCCTTCTCCTCTAGTTGATGGTCCCTAGTTGGGTAATGCAACATCTAGAACCAAATCACCAAGCTCAGAGAGCATCAGGGACTCCACAATTTCACCTTATTAAAACAGATAAAGAACACTTATTTCCGTGATCTTTTTCATGCTGCCATTTATTTATTGTTTTCATTATACTTCATAATCATACAAATTTCCGCATTTCAACACTTTTGTCAGGCTCTTTTGCCATCCTCTTTTTTCTACTCCTGCATTTTGCCTTCATTCCAGCCAGGTAAGAAAGTGGCGGTCCTTAGAAAACTGATGGTGTGGTAGGATTTGACTAAACTCAGAAGGATGGGATTAAAAATGTGTTTTTGAAATTCTCCAAGCCAAGGGCTTTACCCATTGGACTCTGCCACTTCTCCCTTTATTTAGTTCCCAGCTAATTTCTGTGCGAATTGGATCTGATTTCAGTGAAAATAATGCCCCTGGAATGAAGCATGACCCATTTTTGTGTAAGTGTATGTAGTGCAATTAAATGAAAGGGGCAAAGGAATTAGGAATCCTATATGTCTCCTCCCTCACATGGTCAGGAGATAACAAAGGAACTGATCGACCACATGATGCCTCTTCCTCACTGCTCCTCTCTTGTCACACTATGCATCCACTCAATATAATTTGTGATCGAGGTGAAGATATTGTATGGTTTGTCCCCGGTACACTCAGCTCCGCAAGTCGCAATGCCCGTTAGAAACCATGTGCCGTTCCTTTCCGTAGCTACTGGAGCTCCACTGTTGCCTTCGTAGACTCTTTTGACAAAGGTAGGGTGGCCTGCACAAAAGGTATTGGGAAAAGATTGGGTCTCGTTCTCCTGCAGACAATTGACCTGGCTGACATATTCAATGTCGGCACGCTGAAGGGTGTTTGAGACCTGCTGTAAATAGTCAAGCTCCCACCAACCACTCAGGCTGCCTCTTCCTTGCTTTAGCAAGTACTTTGTGAGCAGACTGTTCCCAACGCAAATGGGGGTGACGTATTTGTTCAGGATGAACGGTGGGCTTAGCTCTAGGAGAGCGAGGTCGTTCTCATATTTGGAAGTCTCGTTGTAGCTAGGATGCTGGAACACCCTCAGGATTTGACGGGGCTGCTCAGTGTGCTCGAAGGTCCTGGTGTCGTATTCACCTGATTCAAGAGAAGAAGAACAAACCCATTAGGTGTGTTTTCAGATTGACCAAGATGCATCCAGGTTATGTCTCTCGTAGCCACCCCCACGGCTGGTATCTGCAACTCAGTGGGGAGGTTGAAGGGAAGGAACGTAGTTTGAAACACTTTCTTTTTTTAAAAAGGCACCGGGATCAGGGTTTGGATGATGTTGTGACCCAGTTTCCCAAACACGACAAACCCTCTGATGTGAACTCAAAAGATTCCTTTATTAGGATTGCCAGCAGCCCCGGCAAAAAATTTCTCTCACAGGCTACAAAGGTGACAATGGGAGAATCGACTTTCAGATGTGCAAAATTCTGTTAATGTAGCTTTACAACAAAGTAGAATTAACTGGTGGACTTCAACTTGAAGTCCATAGCTCTTAAAATTGCCAAAGTTGGACACCCAAGGGTCGCCAACCTTTTGGACCGCAGGGACCACCAAACTCATCATTTTAAATCCTGCGGACCAGAGACTCTGGGAAAATCCCCAAGAAAGTCTGCAGGAAAATTCCCCACCCCGTTTTCCTACCGATCCATCGTTCTTTATTTGGGATCGCAGGATACCGTCTCCATCTCTGTTCTCAGGGGGAGAGAGAGAGACTTTTGCTTCATGCAAGGAAAACAGCAGAAACAGCAGAAGTCTCTCTTTCTCTCCTGAAAACTCTGCCAGAAATGAGTCTTTGTGAGACTTGTCGCACCGGCACAGCCTTTTGGAGCAGGAGGCCTTGCAGGGTCCCAAAGACTCATTTCTGGCGGAGTTTGGGGGAGAGAAAGAAAGACCTTCGCTGCTTTCCTTGCGTGCAGCCAAAAGCAGAAGCAGAAATAAGCAGCCTGGTGGCCAGCCCAGGCACCTGGGGCAAGTGGGGCAAGTGGGGCAAGTTCCCCCCCCCCCCCCCCTTTCCCCCCTCCTCTCACTACCTCGTGTTGTTCGCAATGCAAGTGACGCAAGCCTTGTGTTCCCGCAGGCCATGTGGGTGGCTTAGCCTTGTGTTCCCGTGCAGCCTGGATTAATTGCTTTGAGGGTCACATTTCTCTGCAGACCACCAACATTTTCTCATGGACCACCAGTGGTCCCCCGGCCCACTATTTGGAGACCACCGGTCCCGACAATTGCTTTCTTACCTGCCACAATTGTGTAAGGGTTATACTCCATGCAGTGCGCTGCAGTGAGGACCCACTTATCACTAATCAGCACCCCTTCACAAAATCCTTTTCTATCGAAGCTGAACATGTAAACCTGGGAGCAGATAAATTGTGTCAGATTGTGACAGATGTACAAAGCCAGGACAGGGGAACCTCCAAAGGCCGAACATTTCCCACCCATTATATTTTGGGTTAAATTTTCCCTGGATTAAATGTCAACCTGTTTATCATTATCCTTTGCCAAGCACTCTCTAGTTCACTAGTGACTTCCCCGTGTTGGCTGTGGAATTCTGGGAGTCGAAGTCCCTCCTGTCTTAGAGTTGCCAAGTTTGAGGAGCATCGTCCTGCAGGTTGTCTTCAACTTAGGACCATAACAGAACTTGCCCATTATGATTGTAAAGTCATCATGGTCATAAAGAAGTTGATTGGACCCATTTTATGACCTTTTAGCTGTGGTCATTAAGTGAACATTACTGTTGCAAAGTAAATCTATTGTTCAGTATGGCCTGATTTTATTGAAAATGGCAAGCAATGCCAGATTTCAGCAAAAATGTCATAAAATACAGTCATGTGACCACAGATGTTGCAAACAATTGTACATTGGGTTGCCAAGTGCCCAACATGTAGTCATGTGAGGGGAGGGCAGGCCATCAGAACTTCAGAACTTGTTCATAGGTACCTTTAGAGACTATCCATCATACTTCAAATGGTTACTAACTGATTGGTGGTAATTCAAGGAGTACCTGAACTTTCTCATTCCAGAGTAATGATGCCCATTTTAGGTTCTTACAAGAAAATAAGAGGTGGAACTGAGTTTGGCCTACATAATTGCTGTGGTTCGCTGGCAGCCGACGCAGATGTCAGTGGAGTCGGACAGTGAGGAAGAAAGGGGACCAGTCAGGGAGTCTAGAGAGGACTGTGCCTGATGCAGGGATGGAGCCAGGACCATCTGAGAGTGGGGTGCTGCCTTGGGAGCCTCTGGAGTCTGGCAGCAGCGAGGCAGAGGAACAAGGGGAGCCTGTTCCCAGTGTGCGTGTGTACAGAGCTGCTAGAAGGTGAGAGCAGCTGAAACAAAAAGGGCGACTTGAGAGTAAGGCTGGGAAGTGATGGCCCCTCCCATAAGGGATAAAAGTCAGACCTAAATGATGAAACCTATGCAGGAAGCAAAGTAGTTCTATCGGTTCCAAGTCATCCTCAAGCTCTGTGTACTTTGGTGGGGGTTTTTTTCATGTACTTCAGTTGGTTTCTTCTATAGTTGGTTGGATACTTCTGTTTTTTGGCAGCATTCTGCAGCATTGAAAGGTGTGTGCTTATCTTGGGGGACTGTTTAAGATTAGTTCTGGCTGGGAATGAAAACAATTCCCAGTGTTGCAATAAAATAGGTTTTGCTTTTAAAACAAGTTTGCGATTAATTATGTTTGACGAAGCCTGGCTCAGAACACCTAATGATAGCACTTCAACCCAAGGAACTGATCATTTTGATGGATTCTTCACAAGAATATGTGATGCAGCCTCAAGAAATGTAGAGCATGTGGTGGAACCTATAATTGAATTTGCTTACCTGCCATGGAACCTGTCCTTTCCAGCTGTTAAACTGACCCCAGACTTGAGTAGGAATTCTTCTCGGGAAGACAACCTGAGCAATGCTTGACTTCACTTGGTGGCTTTTGGTATCGTTGATGTGGCTCTGGTCCAATGAGAGTCTGGGTGTTATAGGTTCTGGCAATGTAATTGTTCCACATGAAAAGGGTCCTGGGAAGAGGAGGCAGAAGCACTGTTCCATGAGAAACGAATTGTCCAGCCACAACCTGAGTCTTCTCCAAGCTTAGAACAGAGTTGGGGTTGATAACCATCTAACTGAGTCTTATGGGAATGGTGCTACACAGCATCCTTCCTCGGAGAGAAGGAGATAGTGTCCAAGAAGAATGAAGCTTGGAGATGCTTGGTCACCGTTGGGACTCTTCAGAAGTTCTGGCTTGGTGAGTCAAACCATCTTAGCAATGCATCTCATTCTCAAATTATCATACAACCACAGCCTCAATCAGTGGTGGGATTCCAAAAAATTTACTACAGGTTTTGTGGGCACGGCTTGGTGGGCATGACAGGGGAAGGATACTGTACAATCTCCATCCCCACCCCACTCCTGGGGGAATTAGAATATTTTATTAAAATACTTTATTGGCCAAGTGTGATTGGACACACAAGGAATTTGTCTTGGTGTAAATACTCTCAATATACATAAAAGATACATTCGTCAAGAGTGGAGAATCATAAGGTACAACAATGATAGTCATAGGGTACAATAAGCAATCAAATCATACTAGGAAACAGATTACTGCAAAATCCCCATTCCCTCCCCACCCCACTAACCTGCTTTCCAGCTCTGTTCTCTCCTCTGCAGGGCAACCAAAGAAGACCCAGCCAATCATCTGGGACTCAATGGGAGGCAGATAATAGATGGGGGCGGGGCCAATCAGAGGTGGTATTTGCCGGTTCTCTGAACTACTCAAAAGTTCCGCTACTGGTTCTCCAGAACTGGTCAGAACCTGCTGAATACCACCTCTGGCCTCAATGCATAACAGACAATGGAGATCCTCAAATCAAAGATGATTGAGATGAGCAGCTACAGAAATGGAATGAATAAATAAATAGCGCCCCAAGTTTACCCGATGGTTCGCAGGTCTTCTGGTCTTCTAACAGATTGTATCCATCAACACAGGAACACACTGCCCTTCCTCTTCCCTCATTTCTGCAAATCTGCCCGCAATCTCCATTGTTCGCTGAGCAAACATCTTCAATAATGAGAGGGAAAGAATAGGAATGAACATATCAGGATGAGAAGGAAGATGCCTATCGGATACTTAGACTACTTCACCAAAAGTACTTTCCACCTGATGAAAACGTGACTTGCAAAATGGAAGGCTGGAGGTCTGGCCGGCTGAGGAATTCTGGGAGTTGAAGTCCACCAAGTCTTTATGAAAGGAGACCTAGAATGCTACCCTGTTTCCCCCAAAATACGACTTGCCCTGAAAGTAAGTCCTAGCTTGATTTTTACACATGCACCCAATATAAGCTCTACCCTCAAAATAAGCCCTAATTAAGAGCCTACCCACTCCAGAGTGCACGGATAAAAATATAGCTAGGGTGGGGATTGGGGAGTGGAGCTGTCCAACTACTTACATTTGGATAGTTATAGCCAGGCCTCACACACCTCCAGACACCTGCCTTGCAGGCCCATTTCTTCTGCAGCTGGCAAGGTTGGCAAGGCTTTCCTGAAGGCCTCTGTAGCTGATAACAAAGCTCAGGATCGATCCAGAGCTCTGTTATCAGCTGCAAAGGCCTTCAGGAAAGCCTTGTATCCGACAGCGAAAAGCAGGCCAGCGGGCGACGCACGCAAGTGAGGTTAGTCGGTGGATGACATCCCCCCAAAATAAGACCTGGTGCCTTTTTGGGTGGCAAAAAAAATATGAGACAAAAATATAAGATTTTTGGGGAAACATGGTAGATATGTGTTGATGGTTCTTTTAAAGGAACACTTACCAATATAAGTCTTCCAAAATACCACCTGCAAAAAAAAAAAACCGCAACAATTTACAACATTGCATTCGAATAAAAGTAAGATTTGATTCTAAATTCAGACCCAAAGTTCATTTGTGGTAATGATCTCATTGTCTCTCAGGTATACACTTCCTAACCATGTCTATCAAGTAGACAATATATCTACAAGCCCCATCCTTTGAGAAGCTCATCTTGATCATAGAGTCTCTCCTTTGGTTTCAAATCTAAACAAAGCTTCTAGACATTATTGGTCCATGTAGATACCTTGGAAGAATAAAGGTATGCTTCCTGAAATTGAAGAAGGTCATATTGGACCTGATCTTGAAGGCTATGTTGGATCTATTCTGCAAGCTATTGCATTGGTAAACTACATACATTTCTCAATGCAATTCACAGGGCCAGTTTTGAATGAGAAAGGATCTAATTTGGCACCCTTCTATCCCAACTCAAATCCCCAGGAATATTCTTCTGGAAAAGACTATTTATGGCACCCTGATCAGGATAGGGATCAAGAGAGTGGTTATGTAACAAACTGAAGTGCATGACCTGGGATTGTCAAATTTGGTTTGGTTAGTAGGCATTTTGTTAGTTGTGGGGTGGGGAGGAGGAGGAGGAGGAGGAAGAAGAACAGGAGCAAGAGGAAGAGGAAGAGGAGGAGGTGAAGGAAAAGGGAGAGGAGGAAGAAGAAGAAGAGGAGGAGGAGGAGGAGGAGGAGGAGGAGGAGGAAGAAGAAGAGGAGGAGCAAGAAGAAGAGGAAGAGGAGGAGGTAGAAATTAAGTTCTCCTGATGTTTATAATCACCGTTTGAGCATCATCTTCAAAAACTTCCCTGGCTTCTTCAAAATCGCATACTTCCTCAATGCACTCTCGTTCAAGATCCCCTTGACGAAGCTCTTCCAGGTATCCAGAATTATACCTTCTATATCGGTGCAAGACAGAACTTGCCTTTTGCTGATTAATAAAAACTACAGCAGGAAAAGTAATGAGATAATCATAGACACAAAGGCTCTCTGGGCAAACACCCCCCGAAAAATGTCAAAAGATATTTGGGGTTTCCCAGTTTGGCTTCAGAACTGTCCTCCTGTTTTTGTATGTTATTTTATCCAAATGAGCAATGCAGCCATTTTTATCCTAGCTTAGAATGGAATTCAAAAAATGAAAATACTTCATTGGCAATATGACTACCTATTGCCAATGAAGTATTTTCTTTTTGTGAATTCTGAACTAAGCTCCTATTTTTATTTTATTCAGCCTGACATTCACAGGGAGGCCGTGGGTTCGTCTTAATTGAGACAAGGAACTCCTTCCAACTGTATTATTTTGTTGCACATTTCACTGGTCAATATCAAAACACCAAACTATGGCTGACAAAATCAAAGGCAGCTCTGCAATCTTTTATCACCTTCCCCAGGAAGGTAATAATTAAACTTCCAATTTAGACTGGTGATTTTTATCGCTAGTCATCAATAGAAAAGATTTCCACAGGGGCTCAGCAATCATTATCAAAGCAATAGTAACATATAATACCCTAAAATGAATAAAAGGAAGTCGTAGTAATGTATGAAGGCTATAATTTAGCCATTTTGAATTAGATTTTTAGCAAATAGAACCCCAGTGCGTTGAAGATTCATTTCAGTGTAAATTCCTTACAAACAATCCAAGGTTAGATTTGAAATGTACATTTGAGGTTACTCATTCCATTATTGTAAATGTGGTTCTAACTTTTTAAAGGGGTATTTGCTCGTATAGCAGTCACGTTTTAATAATCTCTTTTCCCACTTACTATTTCCCAAATGCCTGTGGAGGTTCTCAGTCTCCAGGTCATAGTTGTCCCAAAAGTGTTTTTTTCAAAAGGCAACTGGACTGTCTTTTCTCTTGAAGATGTTTCACTTCTCATCCAAGAAGCCTCGTCAGCTCTGACCAAATGGTGGAAGATGGAAGGATTTATACTATATCTAAGCTTCTTGGATGAGAAGCGAATTATCCTCAAGACAAACAAAAGTCCCATTGCTTTTTGAAAAAGCACTTTGGGAACTATCTCCCAAATCTACATTTTATTGGTTGGGTAGAGGCAAAAGTTTAGGGTTGCCCACCAAATGTACACACAGCAACTTGGGAGCAAGTCCCATTAAGTACCTACACATTGAATTGCCATTACAATGAATGAGGGTTGTTTGGTTTAATTCGATATCCCTGCTATCTTTAGAAGCTTTTAAGTTCAACTTATTTCCTGTGGCTTCTTCCTTAAGTGGTGACCGAAACAGGTTTTCATTTCCAACCAAAAGAAACTTAGCTGAAAAAGGGAACCAACCTTCACAGTCGGCGAGAAGAAGGTATCCCAACAGTCCGAGGACCAAGGCAAAGCCGTGGTGGGCCATTTTCCTTCAACCTCACAGCAGCTTTGTTTAACATCACATGAACAGCCACCTCTGGATCACTCATTCCAAAGGGCAAGTACATATTTGCTTTGGGTTTAACACAGAGGTCATTTTCTTCTCCCTCAAGGACCTTCCGTGGGCCTTGCCAGATGCATAACAGCAGATTAAACAAGGTGCATTGGTCTGTAGGACATCGCACTGCTAAAAGGGATTAGGTTTTATTCATCTAGATCAGGGGTGTCCAACCTTGGCAAAGCTGGCTGAGGAATTCTGGGAGTTGAAGTCCACAAGTCTTAAAGTTGCCAAGGTTGGACACCCCTGATCTAGATGAACACTAGTTAAGAACTGATTCATCCATTTCATAAACGTGTTAATCAGGGGTGGGATTCAGCCGGTTCTGACCGGTTCTACAGAACTGTTAGCAGAAATTTGGAGTAGTTTGGAGAACCAGCCAATATCACCTCTGACTGGCCCCGCCAACCCCATCTCTTCTCTGCCTCCCATTGAGTCCCAGCTGATTGGCTGGGTCTTCTTTGGTTGCCCTGCACAGGAGAACGTATTAGATCATTGTAGTTTTCTGTGGTTCGGCTAGGAAATACTGGGCACGATCCATTGCTGTTTACAAATACTGAGCCAAAGAATGTGTTAAAGATGTTGGCTTTAATGATGTCATCGTTACAGTCTTTACCATTAGGTCCTATCAGGGGTGGGATGGACCTTGAGTCTTTTAGTTTGTTGTTTACGGAATTGTAAGAAGCGCGGGTGGAATTGGTGCGTAGAAGGTTTTCCTCTTGTTTAATGTGATAATTGGTGCATTCAGTTTTTATCTGTGGGCATAAATTTTTGTATTGGCTTTGGAAATTGGCAACGTGACCAGATTGGTTTTTCCACCAGAGTGATCTCTTTTTGGATTGATCTTCCTTATGCACGGAGCATTCTTTGTCTATGCTCTGTCCATACTTTGTTATTTTACACAGTATCCCTTTTCCTTGTGTGTTTGTGCTCCTAGGCAGCCCCCCCCCCCATTATCTATGGAGCAGGATGTTCCTGGGAATTGTCTCCAAGGATGCGTCTAGCTCTGAAGCAAATTGCAGAGGCGAGAAACCAGATAGAAAAGGATACAATTCTCTTACAGAATGAATTCCCAACAAATGATTCCCATCATTAGCAAAATAATACAAGCAACGTCTTTAACAGAAGCAAAGAGCAAAAGTTAGAGTGATTCATGTCAATATGTCCTTTCACTTCTTATCCAAGAAGCCAAGAAACAAAACATTTTCAAAAGGGAAAAAAAAAACTGAGAAAGTCCAGTTGTCTTTTGAAAAAAAGCATTGGGACATCTCCATTAATATGCTGATAGAAACATTATCCTGTCTATTCTACCGTTGGCCGTGGGGTAGGAGGAGGAGGGGATGTGAAGTCCAAAAACTTCTGAACGAGAACAAGTTCCCTTATACATAGCTGAAGTTTCTTGGTGATTTGCAATAATCCAGTTAAAGTAATCTTGGCCTAGCACCCTCCAAACAAAAATAAATAAGTGCAAAACCAGCTTTGAGAGATCTCCATTCAGAAGCCCTTTCCCTTCTTGAATGATACCAAGACAGTTGAGAGATGAGTAAATACTGTGAGTAATTAATCAAGCTGGCAGCTCCTGCTGGCATGCTAATAATGTTCTCATCGGTTTAAAAAAAAACCACTTAGCTGTATTTTTAAGGCTGGGCGGTATTAACCGAAGCATTGTATCCAGATCGGTGTGAATTCCGATGGTTGGGATGCACCTGGAGGCTGGGATCCAGCTCCTTTTAAAAAGGGTACAGGAAAGGCAGAAATGGTTAGGAAGTCTAGAACCCGAGGCCTATGAGGAGCAGTTGGGGTCATCGGGGTATTTAGTGTGTAAAAGAAAAGAGTGATTGTGATGCAAAGAAATATTTATTTGGATTCACTTCTTCTCTCAGTGTTTTGTTTTGAGCCTCCGGACGGATGGATGGATGGATGGAGGGAGGGATGGAGGGAGGGAGGTGTGGAAGGATGGATGGATGGATGAATGCAGGGAGGGAGGGATAGGGGATGGGGGGAGGGATGGACGGATGGAGGAATGGATGGAATTCTAATGATAATATAGCACTAGAATAACAAAGTTGGAAGAGACTTTGTAGGTCTTCTAATCTAGTCCAAACCCGTTCAATCAGCAAACCCTATTCACCATTTCACACAAGTGATTGTATCCAGTCTCTTCTTTAAAACTCCAGTGTTGGAGCACCTACAACTTCTGAAGGCAAGACATCCTACTGATTGATTGTTCTCACCACTAGGAAATTTTTCTTTGGTTCTTGAAAGACCAAACAAAAGTTTCTTTATTGATTCATATTTTTTCTTTTTTTAGTTATATAAGCATACCCAAATATGTTATTTCTGGTAAGCAGTATTGTTGACTTGTTTCTGGCTTCTTTCAAGATAATTTGATTTCCGGCCTCAATAATTGATACTTACAATGAAGCAAGCCAAAAAAAAAAAAAGAAGAAGATTTGCTGTAGGATAATGGTGCCAGTGAAAGGGATCTGGAATGAAAGGGTAAAACAATGTAAGCAGGGGAAATAGATAGAGTCTCAACTAATAAAAAGAGGAAGATGTCGACTGAAAATCCAAGGAAGGACAACAGATGGCCCATCCATCCACTACCAAACATGATTATCTTGACGGTATCTTCTGGTTTTTGTCCTTAAGTCCCTTCTCATTTCATATTTCAAACTCTTCAAATCAAATTTCAGAAACTCTGGGCAATGTTTTGGTCAAAAGCCAGTCAAGTTTCATTCTCCTTGGTGGTACTAGAGAAATCCTATCAATTTGTTCTAATCAAGAGTTGATGGAGGATTTTGGAGTCAGAAAATGTTTCCTCCTGAACATTTCCTTCTATGCCGGTTGATCCGGACCAATCTTTCAAAATATGCTTTTCTTCTCAAATTCTCTTCCAAAGTTGGGACTTCTTTCTCTGGCATCCACAACCAGCTCATCCACAATCCACTTCTGATGGATACACATCAGTATTCCAAACCTGGATTTGTACGACAGTAAAGTTAAGGTAGCGACAGATTTTATCTTCCTGGCCTCTAAGAACACTGCAGAAGGGGACTGCAGCCAAGAAATTAAAAGACACTGGCTCCTGGGGAGGAAAGCTATGGCAAATCTAGACAGCCTACTAAAAAGCAGCGACATCACCTTGCCAACAAAAGGCTGTAGAGTCAAGTCCAGGGGTGGGATTCTACCAGTTCACACCTATTCGCTAGAACCGGTTGTTAATATTCTAAGCAGTTTGGAGAACCGGTTGTTAGAAGGAATTCCTGGCCTAATCCTGTAAGGAAGGTGGGAAGGAAACATTCTGGTGTTGCTTACAGAAACTGCCTCTCCGTTAACCCTTATTACATTCTTGGCAGGACTAGACTTCCTGTCTCTGGAACGTCTCTGGAGTTTTTATCCCCTCCTTTGCTGGTACTTTGCTCATGTGGAGTGACCATTCAAAGTTACAGCAGCACTGAAAAAAGTGACTTATGACCATTTTTCACACTTAGGACTGTTGCAGCATCCCCACAGTCATGAGAGGCCAGGCGAGGAGATGCGTGCCTTGATGTGAGTGATATTGAGTTGGCCACGCCCAGCCAATAACATGACCACCAAGCCATGTCCACCCAGTCACATGACCACCAAGCCATGCCCACCACCTAAGCCACGCCCACAGAACCGGTTGTTAAAAAATTTGAATCCCACCCCTGGTCAAGCCTATGGTTTTCCCAGTTGTAATGTATGGCTGTGAAAGTTGGGACCATAAGGAAGGCTGAGCACCAAAGAATGGAGCCCTTTGAACTCTGGTGCTGGAGGAGGAGTCCCTTGGACTGCAGGTCCATCCAACCGGTCGGTCCTAGAGGAGACCAGCCCTGACTGCTCTTCAGAAGGCCAGATCCTGAAGATGAAACTCAAAGACTTTGGCCACCTCATGAGAAGGAAGGACTCCCTGGAGAAGAGCCTAATTCTGGGAACGATGGAGGGCAATAGAAGAAGAAGAAGGGGACGGCAGAGAAGGAGAGGGCTGGATGGAGTCACTGAAGCAGTCAGTGTGAGCTTAAATGGACTCCAGAGGACAGTAGAGGACAGCAAGGCCTGGAGGAACATTGTCCATGGGATTGCAATGGGTTGGACACGACTTCGCAACGAACAACAATAACCAGTTAAGGTCCCTGGACTGATTGATTCGTTTCCCCGGTGAATTCTCCTCTCTTTCCACTTAATCCTGAAAATGTTTTTTTTAAAAAACAGATTTGGGTACCCACTAATCCAATTTAATTCAGCATATGAGCTGCGAGGTTGAGTATTTCTGGGTTTTCTGCTCCTCTTACCTTGCACATGAGTTACACCGGCTCTGTTCCGAATAATGAAAAACATCCAAGCAATGAAGCACTTCAGATACAGAAGGTTGGTGCTTCTCACAAATACAAGGAAAAGCTAAGGAGGCAAACCAGGAATTCTGACTGGGGCGCAGAAAAACCGTTTGCACCCACGTTACTATTTCTTTACATCCTTTTAGGAGAGGAAAGTCTGTCTTCTTCTCTCCCTTCCACCAAGATAAAGGAGGCGCCTGAGTCTAATCAGCATGCAGGGAAATGTGTGGTTGTAGCTTGCCTCAAGACACGCACGCACGCACGCACATACACTCAACAACAAAAATCTAACAAGGTTTTTTTTCTTTTTTTTGGTCTGACTCTCAAGAGTCCCAGCAGGAAGGTAATATAACACCTGTTTTTCACACCTGTAACCAGGAACAGATTAAAACCGCACTGCGATGAATGCTGCAAATCTCATCCAAAGAGCCAAAGGATGCGGCCAAGTTCTTGCGATGGGCTCATTTGTCCCTTTGAAAGGAGTTGTCCTTTTTTTCTCCCGCTTTCTCCAGATTCCTACCATCTCCCATAGCCTGGCTAACTCCATTCTTTCCATAGCGCTGCCTTTCAACGGTTTACCACTGTCTGGTTTGGTTCGGTTTTTG